TTTCACTTTTATTCGCTTCACAGCACTTATCTGCATGATGAAAATTCATTTGGAACATAGAATAGAATAAAATAATTAAGGGAAGAAAAACAAAGTTGTAAACACAAAAATAAAAGAAAATTGTGACAATAGGAAAGAAAAAAGAGAAAATAATTAATGCAAGATTTATACAAAGTCATTAACAGTTACTTTAAAAATTACTTTAATACATGACAATGAATGAATTTCTATATAAATAATTTCTAAATTTTTGTCACAGTATTAAAAACTAGATGGCCAACATTAACCATTTTTGTTTCATATCCCTCAGACCATAGTTTTATTATTGATTTCTTAAATGTAAATATTTTTACATTTTTATGTGGAAAATACCACTCACAAAAGAAGAGTCAGCAGTCATTTCGATGTGCTACTGGGAAATGCTCGTTGCTATTTAGACCTGAATTCATCATATTTTACAGTGCTTGATGGTAAGTTTCTACTACACTTTCTTAAAACACATATTTAACAAAGAAAACACTTATCTTCCAGTGATATTTGAAACAACAAGAAATATTAGTGAAGACTTTTATTCACATAGTAAAAAATTACAATAAATATACAAGTGAGAGGCATTGACCTGTGTTCCCCCACATTCCAGACATAAGCCACTGAGCCTGTTTAAAACAATCTTGAAACCAAAGATCATGAAAATAGTTTATATACTGACTTTTTCATCATACGGTAAATTTTTAAGAAGTAGCAGATACAGTCTTAATATTACAGTATAACTAGAATGCAGACAATTACAATTCACCCCTGCCTAGTTAATTATATTTCTCTTACCATCATTTTAGAATATAAGAATTAATATTTGAAAAAAATCCATAAATTAAGCACATTCTCATAATTGTCATTTCAAATTGTCATGTGTTTTCTGATAATATTGGGTTACTTAAAGAAGCAAAAGTATAGCAGTGATAATTAGAAAGTTATCAAAAATCCTTTATGGCTGAAAAAAGAAGAAATTATCGATTAAATATTTGCCAGTATATTTCTTAGTGTTAACTTATGACTTTCTCTCTCTCTCTCTCTTTCCTCTCTCTCTCTTTGTCTAATAAGATGAATGTTATCTTTCAACTTCTTAGTTTTTTGCTGTATCCATTTATGTTTCCATATGGCTTCGCCAGGACAATTTAATTCTTCTATCAGGTATAAAACACACACACACACACAAAATCCTAACACTTTCATTTCTTTACTTTGCTGTGTAGAAAAGCTTTTTCAAAGTATCAAATAAACAGGAATTCTAAGCATCCTAAACTCGCATATAATATTTCAACAATCCCTAACCAACTTCACTCCCAACTTCAGCAAAGTCACATGTGGTGAAGATATTTCATTTTTGAGGGAGGGGTGAGTGGGAATTTTTAGTTTGTTTTAGCAGCATTTAACACTTTTCATCTTTTTTTTCCTGAAATTTGACTTTTTCTTAACTTTCAAGACGGTCATGTTTTACCACTCTTTAACATCTTAATTTTGCCAGAGGTTGGAGACAGATGTCAATATGGTTTATTCTTCCCCTATCTTATTGAATTTCCTTGAGACCCAATTCTTGGTTTTTACCTTTCAGTAATTAAAAATGTATTCTTTGGACAGTGCTGCTACAGTTGTCATACTTGGACTTGCTGGGGAAATAGCAACCAGTCTCATATATATCAACCCTTCTTCCAAGAACTCGGGCATTATTTGCTGAGTGTTTTTATCCTCACCCAGGTTTCAATACTATACAGTTTGTAAGACTGACCTCTTCAAATTCTACGAAGCGTCTTTGAAAAAGATCATGGAAAATGCATGTAAGAAACCCACAACAAAATATTGAAATCAATATGACATAATAAATCTTTTCTGTACTAAAATATTTTTGTTTAATTCCATTCCCCATAAACTTTCAAAATCCCCCATGTATATTTACAAGCCGTGATTCCATCATCATACATACACACATGTGCATCACCCACAATTTCAAACTTAATCAATGTCCAACCAAACTACTCTTTGATCCTCAAACTTTCAAACTCTGTTCTTTTCTAATATTCTTCACATAGATCACCTGCAGTGTTCAGCTCCCAAGCAAGAAAATGTAAATCATTAATTGCTAGTGAATCCATATTCTAGATCTATTCAGATCTAGAATGTGTCTGGAACTCATCCTTTTCTTTATTTTATCCTATTGTTATCTTTTTTCTAAAACATCCCTGTGTAGCCCCTCACTTGGTCTCATCCACAGGGACAAGGGAAAAATATGCATTTATATAATTTCCCTGCTTCAAATTATCTACCACTGCTTTTTAGGATTTTTTTTTAATATACAATCCCTTACATGTCTTAAGAAATCTTTGGAATCTCTTGGCTGCATCTCTGGCTCGTTAGCCTTATCCACATTCACATATATCTGAATATCATCCAGATTCCTATTGTACTTTCTGGAGAACAAAATTTTTATTGCTACCGAGACTTCTGAGAAATTCCTGTGGACGTTCTATTCATGTAGATTTTCTATGAAAAAATCAATTTGTGAAGGAAACTTGCAGTGATCCTACCCTGCTTTTTTGACTTAGGACACTGTCATGGTAGCACATGAATATGTCTCTTAGTTGTAATTGTTGGTTATTTAAGTTCATTTTAGTAATCTGGCTTCCCAAATGCAAGTGTGAGGATTTGGGGTACCTACATCTATTCTGTACCTTCCAGAAAGAAGGCTGTCACACTCATCTTGGCACTGAACACCAAGCAGGACAGTTACATGCAACTGTGAAATAAGCAGGGGAATAGATCACGACATTGCAGAACCAAAATGAACTAACTGTGGAGGCCAAGAAATGGATATAAAGTGAAGTTTTGTTACAAGAGAAAATCTGGAAATGCTCATATAAGTCAGAATTCCATCCATTTTCCTTTTAGACTTTGCCCCAAAACTCCCAGCCCAAGAACTTATCAAAGAAGAAAAGTGGTTTTGTTGTACATGTTATCACAGAATGTATTGATGATTTTATGCCTTTATGTATATTCTAGTCTTTAAAGGTTTTCTTTTTCTGCACCTCTGGCAGCTCTGGGTATCAATAATTTAATAGACATTTATCAGGAACTCTTGAAATCTAATTTCACCAGTTTGTATAAATTCTGCTATTGATGTGTTTCTTTTTAAATATAAAACATTGACATTTGTCTTCTTTGCATAGAACATTAATTTTCAATTTAATATATTACATATTCAAATATATATAAGCAGAATTAAAGGCTAAGCTGAATGGAATGTATTTATGTAATCCTCTTTGGATAATTTTTGCAGTTTGAATCTATACTTGTATCATCTTTCTGACATCAACATTGAGAATAATTTCTACTAACCTAATGTGTTACAGTACCCAAGGCAGTTTTGTTTTACATGCCTGTGGCAATTGAATTGGGAGCTAGTATATTTGATCATTTTTACTTAGAGTAATGCATCTTCACTAAGGGTGTATGATTTTTTTGTGCTAATTAAAGTAGATCCTAGACAGAGAATTAAGTCTGAACACCATTTGTGTAATATGAGGACAATTATTTCCAAATATGAACTGAGTATAGATGAAGTAGAAAATGTAGAAGTTAATCAAAATGGAAAAACAACCAGAAAATAAGTTACTCAGAGTGTTATCTGGGGAGTCTGGCTCATAATTAGTAGCATTTATTGGCTAACGTTATGAGCACAAATGGTTAACAACTTCATAAACAACATGAAGTTTGGGGCCAAAGGGCAGCCAACATCAGTATTTATTTCAATTGAAATCTTAAGTACATAATTTTTTTCCGTTTTGAGAACTTGAGTTTTATAGCAATATTAATGTTATTAAAATGATAATTAATTTCAATTTGAAATTATAAGAACTTTAGCATGAATGAAATGAAAAGTTTTGAGTTTAAAAAATAATATGGACCAATACAGATACCCTTATGAGACTTATCTGTACATGGTGAACAAAATATTTTAAGCTACTATAAAACATTCACAAAATTCAGACTTTAACAATAAGCTTATTTTCAGGACAAAAAGTTTGAAATCCTCAGTTAGGATTTCTTGAAAAGGTTAATGGAACTGTGTTTTTTGAAAAAAAGTATGGATTTTAAAAACTGATGTGTCAAATAGGCATACGTTTCTTTTCATTCCATTTATCCACAATTGTTTTTGAAATGTTCTTATACACACTCCTATGCACACTCTGCCCCAAAATTATATAGTACTAGTAAAACTTAAGATAAAAATAAATGTTGCAATGTGATGAACATGGCATCGGAATAAGAAAGTTAAACTCGATTTTTATGTCAGGATGAGTTACTGAATTTTATCCCTGTGAAATGTATCCGAAAAAAATCTAACACCCTCTTGTGGACTACCAAGATATTGCTTCCATTAGAATACAGTGACATATGACCACTGTTAAATGTCAAAAAAGAACATTCTGCCACATTACGTGTAATCTTGGGCTGTATCTATGGCTCTTAATCAACTAAAATTTGAGTGTTTCTGTTTCATTGTACAACAGTTTTATTTTTTCATAATCAGATCATTTGGTCAGGCCTAGATAAACAAGTTGATTCCAATTTCGGCCAAGGGTTACTGGAAAGGAGCATCAGTTTCCACATGACTAACACAGGTTGTTTTGTTAGCAAAAGTGTTTTTCTGATCTCAAAGTAACTTTTCATATTGATTTTCATCCGTTTTTATTATCTTCTGGCTTTCCTCTAGTCTTAACCTGTCCACATTATTTTAATTGCTAAATATTTTGACACATTCACAGCCTAACCCATTCCTTTACACAAGAAACACTGAACGTTTGAACAAGATGGGATGAAGTAACATGAGGAGAACTCAGAATTTACATAGTTTATGAAATATATTTTTTGATTTTAATTAAAAATCCATAAAGATTGTAAGATGATATTTTCTTTATCTTTAAGTAGCATACAGTTTTGCTTACCTTTAATAATATTTGGCTTGGGTGGCATGCTGAATTCATAAACTGTTGGTTCAGAATATCCCAATCGATTGGCTGCTGTAATTTGAACTTCATACCCCATTGTCCACTGTAGATGCTCCAGAATTATATGGTCTTTATTTCCTTGCACCTTTTTCTCCAGCCACTGATCTTCCTTATCTTTCTATAAAGGAAAAGAAATACATCCTTGTTACCAGCTATATTCAAAAATTGTCATTAAAAATTAAATGCATTTGGGCCCGGCGCAGTGGCGCAGTGGTTAAGTCCTCGCCTTGCACGCCCCAGGATCCCATATGGGTGCCAGTTCTAATCCCGGCTGCTCCACTTCCCATCCAGCTCCCTGCCTGTGGCCCAGGAAACAAGTCGAGGACCACCCAAAGCTTTGGGAGCCTGCATCCACGTGGAAGACCCAAAAGAGGCTCCTGGCTTTGGACCAGCATAGCATCGGCCGTTGCGCTCACTTGGGGAGTGAATCATCGGATGGAAGATCTTCCTCTCTGTCTCTCCTCTCTGTATATCCGCTTTTCCAATAAAAATTTTAAAAATAAATCTTAAGAAAAAAAACTAAATGCATTTGTAAAGGAAAAGACTTTTGTTAATGTTAAAAATCATATTTTGTTTATAAGTATAAATGATGCTGCCACAGCAGTGAATTCACTATGATTTCTAATTTTTTCTATAGAATACATACTGTTTTGCTTGATTCTATAATTAATCCTTTATGATTTGATGGCCAGTTACTTACCTCCATAATTTTCAATTGCATATACATAAATTTAGTGTTTCCTTTATAAAATTTTATTTATAATAATATGAACAGAAAATATAAAAGCCAATGTGTAATATACTGAAGAAGTCTAAAACAATTTTTAAAGCAATTTCCAGACATGGTTACTAAAGATTTGTTTGATGAGAAAATGTAACTATGCCGAAAATAAATTTCTAGTGTCTTTGTTAGCATGAAGACTATGATTCACAATAAAAAAAAACACTGAAAATAGAAGAATTAATTGCACATGTATTAAGGCTACAAATCCTGCTTAAATTTTTTCTGAAAGAGAAGTTTAGGATATCTGCCCTGCATTACAAAATGAATATTATAAACGCAATTAGCACAAAAAAATCAGTGTAACTTAAAAAATGATGATTTTCAAAATAATACATTAACTATATTAACCAAATAAGCACAGACATAAAAGAACTTCAAAGTGTTCATGGGGAATGTAATTAAAACGTAAAATTATTTTGATGACAAATCCAACATTAAGATGGTTTTTAAAAAGTTATTAAAAGATGTGCACTGTGAAAATAAAGACATCAATTTTTCATCGATCAGAATTAACTTTGAACCTTAATATCCAGGAGTTTTCCAAGTTTGTACATAAGTAAAAAATAAAATAACAATAGATTGCATTATTTTCAATTTGAAATTTACAATTAGAGGGACTTGTCAAAATTATCTCTTCCCCAGATTATTTATAATATTATGAAATGTATTGGAAATGCCATGGGAAAAATAAAAGTTGTAACCTGTCTAAATCACTCACCAAACAGAAATGGTAAGAGCAAATTACATATGATTTTAAAATCTTTATAATGAATGTACTAAACTGCTAAGATTTTCCCCAATACCTTCATCCTTCATTCATCCATCAATGAGTTATTCTGACTTAATTGAACCCTGAAGAAATTCTCAGTTCTATGAACACAATGGTGAACTGGATTGTGCAATAACCTCATCTTGAAATTTATGAAACAACACAGAGAAAAACTGCGACTTTTGTACAGAGTGAGAAAATGCAATGGAGACGTCTACCCAAGAAGCAAGCCTGCCTTAGTCTGGAGCCAGCCAGATACTTCCTGGCAAAGTGATGTCACAGTTACCAGGCATGGTAAAATCAAGTGCCATTTTATTTTTTTATTTGTCCTAACTAATGAAAAGAGGTTAGGAGTCCTTCTCAGAACATTGTGTCCAAAAATTGAACAGAATCACTTTAAGCCCTATAAAGCCTTATAAAAATACATAACCCCTAGTAGACAAAACACGTGTAGGTGAATTATTTCAAACAACTTTAAGTCACTCTATTGGTGTAGACTACAAAATCAAATAGTAAAAAATATCTGTAAACTCAAAAGCAATTTGAGAAGAATATATACATATATTCACACATAAAATGCATATATTGACTTTCAATGTTATATATTGAATATATGCACACACAGATACAACGTATTTTATGTATTTGCTGTGTATCAACATATATGGGGGGGGGATCTAAAAAGGAAAACGGAAAGCTTACAGTGGGCCCTAGAATGTATAAGGTGGTGGAGTGAATGTTTCTGTTCTGCTATTATCCTAATTATTGGTATATTCTGAATATTTGTAAAGCTCTCAGTGTACTTTGGGATTTTTTGTTGTTGTTGTTGGAAATCCATAGGATTGAGTTTTGCTGTGACTCTGAGAGGAGATTTAGTTGAAATAAATCAATGACTGAAATCAGAATTATCCCAAGACAAAATTTATTCTTGTACAATGGAATGATTCATGGCTTTGCGTAACCTTGCCACTGATAACATTTACAATACAGTACATGAAAAGAAACATCCAAAACTCAGAACGGAATCATTTCTGAGAATTGAGTATTTTGTATGACATTTACAACACATAGAACAACATTTCTGAATTAATACTAATTTACAAATTAACTGATAAATCTCTTAATGGTAAATTTAAAAAAATAAAAACTCTCAATCACTTGAGATAGATGTACTGCTGATTAGAGGAACCAAAACCCATTTAAAGCATTCTCTAAGTTAGATAAAATTCATTTTCCTTTCAATATGAAAAAAGGAGACATTTTAATTCCATAATTGCTACTCCTAGGGAATAGGAATAGCAATACCTAAATATTCCTCTAGGCATCAAAATCTCAATTATGCATTCATAGAGTGCCTAATTTAAAGAATTTAAATTCCCAGGGAATATTTTAAGATAATCTAGTTGCAAAATGTTCCCCTAGGTAACTTAATGAGATGATTTTTTGAAATGGGCTATTATTAATAAGTCAATTATATGTTGAAGGACAGCTACTAAAAAATGTTCATTTTGCTTTAGCATAGATTCTCCCAAGCAATAATTCTTTTTGTGAAAATAGATACATGTTAAATTATGATTAAGACCACATAGTTTTACAACATTAATTGGTATGTAAGACTTGCACATTAATTCTCAATAATAATAATTCCAAAAGAATAGTGCCAGCAACAACAGAAAATGAGCCTATTTTATTCTATTTAATAATTTCTATGTTTTCATTTCCATAAAATTTCACAAGTAGGATTTTTCCAAACTTAGGTTCATTGTTATTTTTATTTATTCAACTATAGTGGTTTTATTTATCCATTCTTTTTCACGGTTATTAACTCAGACAGCAAATAGATCATTTTAATATACAAATTTAAAAAAACATCATTTTTACTCTCTGCAAATAAAAATGTCTACATTCATATTATTTATCCATTACTATGCATTGTTTTAAAATGTTTCAACACTAATGTCTCTAAAAATTCCAGGCGATAACTAAGCATTATTAATTAGGAAACACATTTTCTCTACAACTGAAACTCTATTGATTAATTTCCCCACCGATTCTAATGTAATTTCCAAAATTATATTTTCATTTTCTACAGCAACTGAGATGTTACATGATTCTTCATATTGTAAATAGCTTAAGACAGTCAATTAAGGCTAACAAATGTAGACTCTAAACACTGATGCTACTCTACAAAATTTCTTCCTCATAAGTTAATTTTCAGCTAACATTTTTATTTTTTAATAAATAAGCCCTTATTTATTTTTTATTTTTTAAGATTTATTTTTAATTATTTTGGAAAGTCAGATATACAGAGAGGAGGAGAATCAGAGAGGAAGATCTTCCGTCTGATGATTCACTTCCCAAGTGGGTGCAACTTGCCAAGGCTGTGGGCCGTCCTCGACTGCTTTCCCAGGCCACAGGCAGGGAGCTGGATGGGTAGTGAGGCTGCTGGGGTTTTAACTGGCACCCATATGGGATCCTGGCATGTGCAAAGCAAGGACTTTCAGCTGCTAGGCTACCACACTGGGCCACATTTTAAAACTTTCATTAGAAAGTCAGTTTTACAGAGAGATGGAGATACAGTGAAAGATACCAATTTTCTTTAGTCTTTCTTGGAACCTAAAAAGCATTTAGTGTGCTAACATTAAATGATAATTACGATCCCATAGCTACCACCAAATTAGAGAGAAAATCATGAAAAAGTCACAGATGCATATAAAAAATATTTACTGAAGTATATGAAGTTTTATCGACAATAAAATTAAAGTTGATATGAAATAGTCTGTAGTTAAAATGACCTCCTGCCCTTCTCCAAGCTTTTTATAACATTAGCACATTAGTCTTTAAATTCCAAATACATGGTTTAATCCTACCATTAGACTTGTTAATTTTCATGAAGGATCTACTGAGAATTGTAATTCTATTTTTATTACTCTGGTTCTATTTCAATCAATTTTGTGTTCCTAATGGGTAGGTGAACAAAGCTGCATGTTCTATTACAGGGTAACATGGGATAATTGTTCTTCCTGGTGCATAATCTCCAGGAAGTTTCATGCTTTCTCTGTTATCATATCGTTATGTTTGTCACCCAGTGCAATTTAATTTGTGCTCATTATTGAACTCATTATAGCCAGAAATCAGTAGAAGTATATGACATATATTTTCACAAAATGTGAAAAGCATGCTTTATATGCACAGCAGCGTTAGACATAAATCAAGAAGAAATCAAGAGAAAATGTCAATGATATTTCCTATTTTCCAGATTTTCTTAGATTACAGTTTTTGATAAAAGCTACTATTCAGTGGGGAAAAAAAAGTTGTTGCATACATCAAATTATTTTTCATGTCACTATATTGCACTATAAATTAGGAGAAATGAATGTGATTTGAAAAATCAATGGATGAAGTGGCTTCGAATCAAACACAGAGACTAGATGATCAAGAACCATTATGAAAAATATTTCAAAACAAGTGGACAATATTAAGATAAATGCTACTATAAATATTTAGCTACCAAAAGCTCTTGAAAAATCATAGCTTTAAATGTGGAGGTAATTATTCATTTCCAAGTTTTGGTACTAGCTCCCAGATAAAAATTACATTTTATAAAAGCATGGTATTTCCCCATACACCTTCAGAGCATGCGACTGACAACCTGCTGTAAATGGAGAAGGGGTGAGTCCAGAAATGTGGGGAACACGTTCGTGTACTGAGTTAGAAGACATGCTGTCCAGTGATATAAAGTCAGTGTGTCAACAGGAATGTATAGCAAGGCAAAATCACTGGGATGTGAAAAACTGCTCAGTGAGAGCTGACAGCTGTTACAGGTAGACTCCCAGTCGATGGCTGTTTCTCAAAAAGCAGTTTTAAACAGAAAGGTCTAAGTCTTGATTCCCACCAAAACAATCACCTATTTAAATCTGCTTGCAAGATGTGAAAAAGTTTCAGTCTATTTTGATTAATTATAAAATAGACTTGATTAGAGGTGAGCAATTCTTTTCTTGTAATTTGAAGGTAACACTGGTCATAGTAAATCCTTACGACTGAAACAACGTCCCCTGTTAAACTCTGAGACAAGCGCCATAATAATTGGTGATCAGTCAATTTAGGATCTTTCTGTATTAATATAATCAGTTACTTCCATGCGATATTAAAAGGACCGCATGGCATTCAGTACTTTCAAGGATTAATAATTGCAGCCAGGCAAACACTATTTTATTGGGAAAGTAAACACAGATACTTGAGTAAATGAAAAGTGCCAATAAAACACAGCTGCCATTAGGTAGAGATAATTAAGAAAAGGTAAATAGAAGATACATATGCACGGAAGGTAAAATTGCTCATTTTCAAATTTTAACTTAAGGTTCATCCATATCTAAAAGCAAATTTACAACCATTACATCAACTTGTTTTCATAAATGTTACAGAAATGATGCTTAAGTTCTTCTTTGCATCCACATGTGTTTCACACACAGCTTCTCTAAAAAGATTCCTTTAATATCCTTGAAATAAGTCAAAGAAGATTTTAAAACAATAAAATGCCTTTGGATGTAATTTATATTTTAATACAATATTTGTTCCAATTTTAAGTTTTAATTTCTGTTTTATACTTCTTTATTATCATTATTATTTTATGATACAGTTCTGTAAGCCCTGGGAATTCCTTTACCCCCTCCTCAAATCCCCCCTCCTCCACTAAGTTCTTCTACATTATTACTATTGTTTAGTTCTTCATAAGCAGTCATATGCCCATCAATTTCAAAGTTAATTCCAATTTTCCACAGTTTTCAATGATTTAAAAACATGAACGTAAAGGATCTTCAGACCCTCAAGGCATATTGTGAAGAAACAATATACAGATTGCAAAATTTTCCTGTGCCCAGTATACTCTTGTTAAATTGTTACAGCACACTCACATAAGATCTGCATTGAAACAATAAAAATAATTTACCAGCTTGAGAAAGGCCCTGTCAGAGCAACCTGTATACAAATTTGTGATGGAGCTAGGGTGGGACAGTACAGAAATCTACCACACTTTGCCCACAGTCTTCTGGCAATGCCTCAGACATATAGACAATTCTCAAATGGATAACTTTTCCTGGGAAAAGTTGTTAAAGATGGTGTTGAAGGTGAACCATACAGTGCATGTTTAGCCACATCTGATTATGAGAAAAAATAAGAATAAGAATTTTGCTGTGTTCTGACCGAAAAGAACTGACCATTTCCAGTCGAAATAATGACCGACATCTTAGACATCTCAGCTCGTTTAGCTTACACGATTCAGACTGAAAAATGAAAAGATGACAATTTTGCTTCATGCACTGGCAAAAATGCTGTGCTGATTTTGTTTTGTTTGCATTCAAGGAACAGTATAGCCGGGCTGAACGTTAGATCTGTTTGCAGATATCTGAGGAGTTTCCATATTGTCTTCCATATTTCGTTAGGTTGTGTTCCCACCAACAGTGGCTTTTTTTGCCCGTATTCTTTTCTTTTTAAGATTTATTTTGTTTTTATTGGGAAGTCAGATACACAGAGAGGAGAGACAGAGAGAAAGATCTTTCATCCATTGATTCTCTCCCCAAGCAGCCTCAAAGACTTAATCTGAGCTGATCCAAAGCCAGAAGCTGCAAATTCTTCTGGATCTCGCATGTGAGTGCAAAACTTTGGATCATCCTTGATTGCTCTCCCAGGTCACAAGCAGGGAGCTGACTGGGAAGCAGGGCTGCCAGGATTAGAACCAGTGCCCACATGGGATCCTGGTGTGTGCAAGGCAAAGATGCTAGCTGCTAGGCTATTGCACCAGGCCCTTGCCCATGTTCTTGAAAGCATTTCTTTTTTTCTTTCTGGTTTCTGTATATGACAGACATTCTATTGGGCTGATGTGAAATCCTATTATGGTTTTGTCTGCATTTCCCTGATGGCTATTGAACCTGAGCTTTTTTCCTTGTCTGTCAACCATTTCAATTTCACGTTTTCAAAAGTGCCTGTTCATATTCTTTTCCCCATTTCCTATCTAGGAAACCTGGAATTTGATTATTGTTTTTAGCCTTTGTCTATATTCTTTAGGAATAATAGGTTATTTTTAATATTGCTCTGTGTTCCTACTTGGTATATGTTGATATATGTTCTAATCTTTTTAATTCAGAGTGGTCATAGTAGGTAGCTAGAAGGAAGCGGGGCTGCATCACTGGAACGGGTGCCCACATAGGATCCTGGCACGTGCAAGGCGAGAACTTTAGCTACTAGGCTATCACACCAGGCCCTAGTTGATATCTTTACCTGTTATTCTGCTATGGAAAAGTGAAATAAATAAAAGGGGAAAATAAATAAGGAAGCTGGAGGGTGTATTGGTATTAAGGGAAGGAGGGAGGTTATGGAACACCCAAAACCTATCAGAAGCCCCCTTTAGCTAACTACCCATCCAGTCTCTTTACTATTGTGCTAATGAAACATACTTGATATACACTTTCTCAAGTTCAGTATAGACATTTTTGGTTTTAACTATTAAGGATAAAGTCATTTGATTCTGACCTGAAGTGTGTTATTTCTCATAATCTCACCTTCCCTAAGAAGCACTGATGAAAATTCCTGAGTTCTCTAGCAATAGGCAGAAGTGGAAAGGGAATATCCTTCAAAACATCTCAGCAAAATAGGGAGAGCTGTGTCTCCCGACATACCAAGCAAAAGTCACAAGATGAAAGCCATGAAGACTATCTCAATGACCAGAGTGTAGAGTTTAAAAATAAAGAAGCAGCAGCAGGAACAGGGACCTCAATATGGTGAGGGAGCAAGAGGCAGCAGCAGTCACACAGACTTTCACAAAGTATAATGATGAATTTCAGGAACAGGAAATCCGTTTTATCATTGATGCTATTGAATATACACTCAGCACTAACGAGTCTGTGGACTTGATACAAACTGTAAGACAACGTAAACTAAAATCTGGTATTACATGAAAAGAGTTACTTACACTTCTGTATTTAACAATGTATTCCAAAATGGGAGCCCCTCCATCATCCTGTTTGGTGATGCTGAGTTTAAAGCTCTTCCCACTGCTTGGCTGTCCATGTATGGATGGAGGACTTGGTTCACCTGCATATACAATACCAATGTTCTTAATTTGGTGCACTTTTGAGATACCTGGAGAAGCTTCATTTTAATAAATTCACAATCATGCAAGCTAAATATATGATATTATCCTGGTCATTGCATGCATTTTCCCCCTTTGTTGTAACATAAAAATCTCAGATCTTCATTTTCTCAGTTTATCAAAAGTAACAACATAGTTCATCAGTCTGTAAGCATTGTGTCAAATTGTGACATCTCAGAACCAAAATTTATTCATAGCGATGGATATGTACTGTAAAAACAGTACTGTTTTCAATAAGAGTAACGGATTATTTTTTATTAACAACACATACTGATATATTAGTTCAAATAAATATATTTTATAGAAATTAGCATGGAAAATTATCACATCAAATTTTATGCATTGTATACACAGGAAAAATTGTATTTGCTTACACTTTGCAATTTGCTTTTATAAATTTTTTCTAATAAAAACTCAATGAAAATTTTATAGTATATAAATTTTGTATTTTTGACATTTTTCTTTTAATATTTGCTTTTCATGTTGTCATTTACATATAACTGTTTTTAGGAAAAATAGGAGAATTCTTCAAAAATTCACTGAATAATGGATAGTATATAAAATCTGAGACTGAATTTTTACATTTTTGTCCCACAACAAACAAATTTTAAGTCCTTTTCTGCAAACTTTTTGAGGTAACCATGTGTTTTTCATAGAATAGGGATCTAATGAGGTGTTCAAATTTCCCTTGTGAATAATATCATCACTGCCTACCAACACAGGATGGGAGCCCCTGCAGTGTGTCACCAATGAAATGTGCTGAGACATGCACTGGCATCTCACTGCCTCTGTTTTCTCTAATTTTCTGTGAATATCAATTTCAGTTGATGTCTCATAAAAACTAGAAAAACTTCAGTTTCAATGTTCCAGAAATGTTTAGCTCTCCTGTCCGAGGGAGGAAGTCCAAGATAGAAAAATTAAGCACACATTGTGAAAAGGGTTTTTTGACTCAAAATTGGAGAACATGAGAATTTGCTTCTCTCAAGTTTCCCTAATATGGTACTTAGAATGTTTAGTAGGTGGGTACTTTGAGAAAATGAAGTTTTCTCATGTATAGACATGTGGAAATATACAAAGGCATTATTGAGGGAATGGAAAAGCAATTAATAGAATTAGCATGCAGATATTTGACATTATGCAATGTATTTAGAATTATTTAAAACTTTTATAAGTACCTGCATAATTCTTAATTTCATATAAAAACTAATTATGTGAAAATTAAAATATAATGAAATGGATTTGATAGCTCACTCATACTCTTAATATCATCTCTAAAGTGAATTACACCTTGGAACATACTACAAATTTTCTGTTGTGTTATAATAATTATTTCTAGCAGTGGCATAAAGCGTTATAAAAGGGAAAAACTAACTTTCATTAGCAAATCTCTCAAGTACATTAAATATTTTAGTATCTAGTTGTCTTATTCTATGCCAAATTTGTGAATCAGTGAATATTGTTATTTCTTTGGGAAATAAAATAAAATTCAAAATAAACATATATTCTAACAAAGATATTGGGATAATTTTATAGTTTTATCATCTTAATTACAATATAATGTATAAATTTACCCAAGTAATAAACAAACATTAATTATGGAGAGTTAATGGGTAAAAAATTTTTTAATGTATTTCTCATTTTAGCTTCAAAATAGTCCTTACAGACAAAACTAAAAATTCACTGTTAAAACAAGCAGTGTCCCTTCTCTCCAGATGTTCACTGCTTAAAATGTATTTCAAGAAATATTACTCCAAGAAAATCAAGTGCTATAATTTAAAATGGAGAGACAAAACGAAGAGTGTGATGATTTTCACGTGAAGTTTCAGAGGAATTAACAAGCGAAGGGAAATATGTCTAAACGTAGGAGGAAATGAATTCAGAGGGACTGTCCAGATTCTTCCTGAACATATGATCACTGGCTTATGAGCTGAGACATCAAGACATACTGAAGTTTTAGGGGAAGACACCCTTCTGGTGGGGTGGCAGTTGGGGAAGGAAGTATGAGGACAGCCAGCTGCTCAAAATGTGCCTGAATAGAAGCTGGAAATAAAGCATACAATGTTTTGAGAATATTAACAAAGGTAGATTATATTACTGTTTAAATTTTCATGCAATCTCTATGAATCATCTTGGAATATAAATTAGAGAATTAGGAATCAGGATGAGACGTCAAGATGTACTGCAGCTGTACCGTTTGCAAATAATAACTAGTGATTGAAAAAATACGTTAGGATTGGCAATAGGGAAACAGGTTTTATGTGAACTGAAGTAAACTATTGTTTACACATTAGTGTAGGATAATTTATTATGACTAATTTGTCTGCTTTAACATGTAAAGTAATGCTCAGGTCTTAAACCAGAATTTTTTTCATTCACATCCAGATATTCTCACTTTGTTTCTTTAATGTTTTTTAAAAAAAGTAAGCTTAAGTGTTACAAATTTTTATATAATTCCACCTAAAACCCCATGCAGTACCTGCACTTACTAACAATGAGTTGGATGGGATGTAGGTCTCCTGGTAACATTTCAGAAAAATAGGGAAATTTGCATCTCATTCCAAAAATGTGGCTAGTCTCACATCAGAATGGAAAGTCACTAGATCAAAGCCATCATTAATGCCTAAGACTACTTTGATGATTGAGGCTTAAATTTTAAATACAAAGAAGGAGCAAGAAAAAGAGGGAAGAGTAGGCAGGGGAAAGGAGTTTTAGGATGGAGAATGTCATATGTTATTACATTCTCTCACAGAAGCTAAACAATTCAATCAACAACTCAATGAGGCTATGAATAGCAGGTAAAGGGTGCAGTGTTCAGAGAGCACTTTTTATTTCTGTGTTGCACCGCATCATTCTTTTTCCTGCCTTTCTCCAAAACAAAGTGAATTTTTATTAATCTGATATGCGATCTTCTAAAACCTCTTCAAAAAGACATAATTTACTTCCAAAAAGTGTTGAAATCCACTCCCTACACTTTAAAACCCCATTAATTTAGCAAGTGAAGAGAATGGCAAAAGGGAGCAAAACAATCACTTACGAACTGGCAATGTTTGGAAGAGTTCTATTTTACTGTAGTCCCCTTGTCCTTTTCCATTTACAGCTGCAACCCTAATTTCATAAGTTGTATTTGGTTCCAGGTTGCTCAAAACAACCATTGCTAGAAGAAAAAGAAAATACATGTGTAAACGTAACGCAGTTGAATAAGGAAATTCAAGCAACTATGACAATGCTGTGTGAAAACTTTCCTACAGAAACTTTCTGTGACATACCAAGGAAAAAAAGTCATGTGAATTATAAAGAAGTCGTCTTCTTCTATTTTAGTTTTCCATCCTATGCATTGACTTTTGCTGTTTTTAATTTTGCTTTTATTTCCTGGAAATGCAGATAGTGATGGAGGCATTGAGATGATGCTGCCATTCCCAGTTTGTTCCTCACAGACAGACCAAGGCCTGAGAGAGCTGCAAAGCCTGGAGTTTGGTGCAATTCATACGGAGGGCAGAGACCCAATTTCTGGGACAATTATCTGTTGTATACTAGGGGCAAAACCAGCCGATTGCTGCATCAGTAGTGAATTCAGAACAATGAAGCTGAGCATTCGGATGCAGGAAGAGTATCCTCTAACTGACAATATAATATGACAAATGTTAAGCAAAATTACCCTTTGCATTAACTTTTGAAGGTAAAAAAAATGAGTGATGCATTACTCACCAAATGGAAAATACAATATTTACTTTCATCTTTTTAATATGAAAAAATACTGAAATTTTTTGTATTTTAAATATTTTGTCTACTGTAGTAAATGATATCCAGTGTTTATGTGTATCAATGATGTTGAACAAGTCTCACAAAGTTAAATATATAGCAAATGTGAATCATTCATTCTATAGTCTCCAACAGAGTTAAACTTAATGTTAGATTGAAACATTCTCATTATCTGCGTCTCTGAATTTTCACCCTATTTATCTGTCAAAACCCTGGATCAACATGGCATAAAGGTGGGAGAAGAATCTGAATAGTTACAAGAAAGCAAATGTTTTAAGAAACAACTTCCAAACTATATCAACCTTTTGTATTTTACAAATATTTTTAATTCATTGCAGATTTCAAGATTGTCTCCTTACCAATTCCTCTAATGGAGGTTTAAAATGCCCATAGCTGTGCTTATTTTAAAATATTGTTTTTACTTTTTTAATAGAGACACAGAGATTCTTTCCTTCCATCCATTTGTTCACTTCCTCAATAGACACAATTACTCAGAATTGGACAGAGTAAACCCTGGAGCCAGGCTGGGTAACAGGTGTATATGAATCACTTATGCCATCTTCCACTGCTTTTCCAGGCCATCACTAGGGAGCTAGGTTGAAAATTGAGCAGCACAGACATAAACTTGTTCCCAAACACAATGCTAGAATCAGAGCTAGAAGCTCATTCTATTATGCAATCAGACACTTTTCTTACATTTCAGGCAAAATTTCACATTACATTTTATGATGATGTTTATGAAGATTTTTTTTCTTTTTTTGCTAAAGTAAAAAGAAAATATTCTGCATTTAATAGACACATTTTTAAAGACTTTTAAAAAGATTTTTATATTTTTAGGTTTATTTAAATTAACTGGTAAGACAGATAGAGAAGGAGAGACAAACAGAGGAAGAGCTTATGTCTGCTAATTCACTCCCCAAGTGGCTGCAACAGCCAGAGGTGCATTGATCTGATGCCAGGAGCCCAGAGCCTCTTCCAGGTCTCCCACATGGGTGCCGTCCCAAGGATTTGAGCCATCCTAGACTGCTTTCCCAGGCCACAAGCCTGGAACTGGATAGAAAGTGGGATTGCAAGGATTAAGGATCAGAACTGGGTGCCCATATGGGATCCTGGTATACAAACTGAGGACTTTAGCCACTAGGCTACCATGCTGAGCCCTAACAGACACAATTCTCAAAAGAAAATCATTTTTCCTTCCATTTCTCTTTCCCTCCTTCACTCTTTTTCTTTCATTTATTTTTTGAATGTTTGTAAAATGTGATTTCAGTACACTCTATAGGCAGAAACTCAATGCTTTTTTTAATAAATAAAAATATGGCCTAAATTTTTCATGAAGATATTTATACACATTTTAAGGTAAAATATAATGATTCATAATATTTGACATTTTTCATTGTATACTTATCAGGATATGCAGTAATTGATTTTCATAGCTTCTTTATTCCATTATTTTAGATAGTATTCACTGTTAAGACATCTGTGTAATTTCTTTCAATGATACATTTTATTATTTTTATTGGTAAGGTGAATCTACAGAAAAAAGGAAAAACAGAGAAAGATCCTCCATCTTCTAGTTTATTCCCCAAATGGCTGCAATGGCTGAAGCTAAGCCAATCCAAAGCCAAGAGCAAGGAAATTCTTTCACATCTCCCAGACGGTTTCAGGGTTCCAAGGACTTGAACCTTTCCCCATGGATTTCCAAGGCACAAACAGGCAAGGGATAGGAAGTGGATCGACAAGAACATGAGCTGCCCCCAATATGGGATCCAAGTACTTGCAAGGGGAAGATTAGCAGGTTGAGCCATTGTGCTAGGCCTCAGTAATTTCTTATAATTTTTAAATTGTTATTTATTTAAAAGGAAGAATAAGAGAAATTGGGAGAAAGAATAATGCAGAAGAGAAATGGAGATCATTCATTCTGTGATTTACTCTTTCGATAGTTACAACAGTAGTCCCTGCTAGCCCAAACATGAATGAAAAAAAGCTCATTCTGTCATCCAATCTTACCAGCATTTCCTTCACCTTCTACTGTTTCCTGAGTGGAATTAGCATGAGCCTGAAGGAGAAACTGAAATTGGCACTCTGCTAGGGATGTTGGTGTCACAGTAGGGGCTTAACATATTGTACCACAAAGGTGGTCACCATTTACATTACTATATCAAAGTTTTTTTTTTTAATGTCCATTGATTTAGTTCTCAAAATATATCAGCCAGATTTTCATAATCTTGTACAGATTCTCTGTATTCAACAAGAAGGTTAAATGTCCTACAGGAAAGGTTTAAATTGGTGTGTCTCAATGTGGTCATGTTCTAGGAGAACTAAGCTTGCTTTTTAAGAGTGTGCAGATTATGACACATGGAGTCAGTTTTGAAAAACACAAATAGAAATAACTGATTGGCATAGATATTCAACTGAATAACGGCCGCAAGGACAAATGGGAAAAGAATGATGGGATTAATGACTACCAACTAGCTGAAAACTTGGAATGTTTTTTTTCAGGAAATACAAATCCACTTAGACTGAAATAAATATGTAAGATCAGTACCAAGAACAGAGGAAATGTCTTCTGTGTGGAAAAGGTGAGTATGGAGCGCTTTCGGAAAGCTTTTCCTCAAAATCATTGACATGGAATCCAAGAATTTAAAAATCAACATTTGAGGCTGATGTTTTGGTGACTGTGAACCATCCACGTGGAACAATAACACTCCTTTCAAGTCCCACCTATTCCATTTTTGAGCTGGTTTCTTGTTAAGGATCTTGAGAAAGAATCAGAGGCATGAACCAGAGGATGGAATGTTTTTTCCTCTCTCTCTAAGACTCTGTCTTTCATATAAATAAAAATACATCTTTAAAAAAGCAAAAAAAAAAAAAGATTGGAGAATATTTCATTATTTTAGGAATGATATATTGTGAAATTATCAGAGTATATCTAATCACAAGAACAGCAAGTCTACTTCTTAGATTAAATAAAAGGCAACAACAATCTCTTTCTCAAAATAAAAACCATGTTTCATTTGGATCTTCTGCGTATTGCAGGAACAAATTCATTCTGACACAGCTTGCTAGCATTCCACTTCCTCTAACATTTCACATGGTTGTGAAGAGCTTTCAGTATCCCAATGTCACTGTCCGAGGAAAGCCTCATTAGTTAATACGAAGGATGTTTTGCAATAGATTTTCCCCATATTTTCTCATATTTTTCTGCTTTCTATGCCATGGCTCTGCTGTGAGTTCTGAGTTTCACATCATAGCAAGTTGCACAGGAAAGGAACTAATTTGTCATTCAAATCCTAGTTTAAAGCACTCCACATTTAAAAGGAGGGGAGGCCTTTTAGATGACCTTCAAAATTATAGGAGGTAGGCATTAGAGTAAACTTATTGATGCAAGTTTTACAAAGTTTATACACACTAAGTCAGTTTTCCTTTTCAGTTCTTACTCTACAGGTTTTACTATAATAACCTCTATTAAGAAACTTATTAACATTGTGTGAATAAAGACTATTGTGTGAAGTAAAAAGAACTACCTAAAGCGAGAGCAAATTACAGAAAGGGCAAAGGGAAAGAATAGGGGGAGAAAAATCTGGATCTATAATTTTATTTGCCTTTCTGAAGTAAGAGGATATAAGCATTAAATCATCCATAATTTACTGGCATATTATCAAACACATGGTTTCTGAACTCCCAAGGTTCCTGAAAGCAAACCAGCACTTGAAAACTGAAAGGCTATGCACTTTATAACGGAGGTGTAACTCAAATTAGGAAGTTTGTTAATGAAATACTTTCTGTAAGTATGCCATATAATAGAACAATAGAGCCAAGAACTGAGGTGTGGAATGGGTTCCTTCCCTATAATTCATTAGAAATTCAAACTCAGCATACGAAAGTAGATCTAGATAATAAACTAGTAAAAGTTTTCCATGACAAATTTCACAGATGAAGGCATTTTATAGCTAAATACTACCAGCATGATTTGAAACCCAGAATGCATTTCTTCAGAAAATTATAATTATTGATTATTCTTTAAGCTAAAACAGCCTTGCGCTTTTTTCATGCTACCACTTGATACAAAGATAGCTGAGTTTCTTAAACAATCACCTGGCTGTACATGCAAATCATACAGTAAAATATTGATAATGACATTTAAGCTGCACAGGAAAAGAAACCATGACAGCTTTTAAATAATAATGATAATAACAAGTCTAGACATAACAATGGCAAAGGAAATGAAATACTATTTTTTTTAATGAGGAAACATTTTCTGAAAGAGAACTGAGTAAAATCAGTATACATTCAGATAATGCATTGTACATCCCTTCCCTTTGGCTGTCAGAAGTGGATGCAATGATAATTAGGATCAAAGAAATTACATATTTTGCTATTACCTAGACTGAGCAT